TGATGATGTTCAATACAAGTGATTCATGGCAGTTAAAAACAAAGAGGCAAGTGAAATTAAAATGAGATGAGATCTCTTTATTGATATCAACATCAAATGCAATATCCTTTTTACCTCTTTTTTAGTTGAAGTTCCATTTCAAGCAAAAGTGCAAGTTTTAATTTAAAACATTCAAAACCACAAACAGCCTGGTAATAACAGTCACTAAGTATGGAAAACAAACCGTCAAGGCTTCAATTTTGCCCTTATTTATATAATTATATCCTTGAAATTCTAAGGCAAATTAAACCAAAAGATATTTGCCAAAATGTGGTCAAAAACATGTGTCCAAACAACTTGTGGAATGACAAAAAGCCACTTGGGTTAAAATTTTGCTCTTTGATTAGTTCTGTTCAAATGTCAAATTTGTAATTTTAAATGTACTGATTATTACTGCTACCAACATAGGTCAAGCCAAATGACATTTTAAAATAAGGATTATTAATAGAATTACATATAAATGCCTGGCTTTCCATCAAAAATACTTTTACCATTATATCCTATTTGCATATATGTTAGTTTATTATTTGCTAAATTAAGATTACAAAGGATAAAATTTGCACTTAAAACCTAGGAATTTTGTTGGGATAAAAAAGACAAGGTCAAATGTTTAATTGTTGGTGTTTATTTAAATAAAGATTTTAAGATATAAACAAATATATAGACCATCATAGAAATAAAATATTTAAAATTTTACATATCAAAGAAAAAGCAACAATACAAATTTTAATACTACCAACAACTGTATAAAATATTGTTTATTTTAAAATTATATGAACATATTCCTAGTTTATTAGAACAAAATGAGAAAGTTCAAACCTTTACTTAAGATTACCATGATTACCAGCCAGCTAGAAAATATATATATATATATATATATATATATATATATATATATATATATATAACATTATACATAAATATAATTGTAATATATCACACATAGTGCTGGTGTTAGTAAAACAGTGCTCGGTGTAATATAACAGAGCTATTGCATAATAGTCAGTTCATACTAAGCACCTGAAGTGAGGGATTATATAATTAATCTATAGAAAATTAAAGAAAAAAATTGAATAAATCTAATAATCAACTTTAATAAATCTTAATGTTAAAAAGATACTGGAAGTTAACAAGTAACATTTAACTTTTATACATTTTGCTTAATTCATTACTTTTGTTTTTGAGTCATTTCTTTTCACTGCTTTTCATTGCAACTATTCAGAGCCATTATGTTGAAAAGAGAACTGAAATGGAAGTGAAAAATACTTATCCAAATAAATAAATGATGATTGAAAATGTTATGAGAAGAATTCAGTATTTAATGTTTCTATTAAATCGTTTTGTTTTACTTGAGCAAAAAGCAGAAGCAACATTAATGTTCCAAACCAATTCTATAAGAATTAATGCTTTATTCAATCACATGATTTATGAATCACTTGGTCACAACTTGCCAAATACTAAAATTAATTCAGGTTTTGAATTTGTTTTCACTAATTTTGACATTGGTTATCTCTTTGAATTATTGAAAACATAATTTGCAATTTCTTGGTCATAGATAAATTAGAAACTATTTTATTTTTTAATCAGTATCACTCCAAGCAAGGCAGTACAGCCACTAGCACACACTGGGTTATAGGGTGTGAAGGAATTAGGAACAGAAACATTAGTTGTCAGAAGAAAGAAAAAAAAAAAAAAAGAGCAATCAGGAGGACAGTAGATAGTGATTGACATTGCATTTAAATTTTTGCAGATTAAAGTTGGTTGGAAAGCATGGAGCCAGGTGGGAGTTCTACAAGCAAGAAGTGCAAGATAAGAAACTTTTTAACATTGAAGTTAAGGGTTACATCTAGCTAGCTCAATTGTAAATTGATAAGGATCTTGCCACCAGTCTAGTATTGCGCTTAAATTCATGCAGTCTAGGTACCATAGCAAAGAGCTCATCCAAACAATTACCATGAAAGTATTTATCAAAAAGGCACAGTGAGGCAACCTTATGGTGGTGGGCAAGTGACTGAAGCTGAGCTACCAGATCAGGACTAATAATATTGCTGATTCTTCTTTGGATCTTATCAAGGAGCTCCAGGAAAATAGCAGGGGCACCAGACCATATATGGCAGCAATAGGCAAATGATAGATTCCAGAGAGAAAAATTGTCTCGTCTGACACAGTGAACTGACTTTCCAAACTGAACCCTTTATTTAATCTAAGGGGATAGACTGTTCTCGTTCCACTGCTCATGTCTGAGGATACCTTGTCTAGTTCCTATTTTTAATACTGCTCATTTATTGCTCACTCTGTTTTACTGAGCCCATGTACATACTGTCAGGCCCAGGGATTGAACTCACAATTACTATATCACAAAACTCACGTCACACTCCTTCCTTGTCTTGAACAGGAGTAATGATTTATCCCTTGTTTTCTCTTTAGGATTAGGTTTCCAGTTCCTTCTCCTAAAGTCTTCATTTTCTTTCAACCCACCACCCCCCGCCCCCAGTAATCCCTTGCATCTTAGTGGCATTATCGCCTTACCGGATGCAAAGCAATTTAAAAAAAAAAAAAAAAAAAAAAACACTTCCCGCTAGGCTAATGTCATGTAGGATTCAGAGAGCACTCCTGAAATGCTGTAATAACAACTAAGATGAGGAGAACAGTCCAAGTGTAAATAATGATAACTCATTTCAGAAATTCAAAAAGAAATTAACAATAAGATTATATTAAAAATGTTTCCATGGTGACAAGTTTGACTTATTGCTATGACACTATATGGCTAGTATGGAAAAATTTACAAATTTTAAGATTTATATCACTTTCTGGGAGTCACTCATATCTTTGCAATAAGAAGACCAACATTCACAGGAAGTCTCCAAAACCACACACACCCTTATGCTAGCATTAATTAATTGAAGTGAATAAGATTCTAGTTGCATTCATATTAGCCTTTACAATGATGATGTTACATTAAGGCAAATATGTGTTGTTAACTTTTAGCAGATACCTACTTTTAATTTATTTGGGTACAATATTTTCTTTGTTTGTGATATCTCATTATGAAGCACTATTTTTGTTCACCACATCAGATTTTAGTAAAAAAGCAAAAGTTAAGTCTTATAGAACAAAGAAACATGTGGTTTTTGAAGCCCATCACCCCCCACTCCCAAAATGACCAGTTAAGACCAATTTTGACTAGTGACCTGAGTGTCTGTACTTGGGTTACCCACATTAAGCCCTGACCTTGTCACATCTCGCCTCAATGGGAAGCAGGGTTGCCAGATTGGCTTTTTTTGACGCCAAATTTCTGAAATCTGGCTTTTTTCATGTTGGTTTGGCGCCAGAGAATTGATTTAGCATCTTTGCCTTTTTCTTTACATGCTAAAATATATAATAAACAGTATATTACAGCTGCTATATACTACAATCTTTTTTTTTATCCTCAGTGATGCGCCTGAATTATGAGATTTTTCGGCCATTTTTATCATCATATCCTTAATCGAGAAGTGGGAAGGGCTCCCAGAAATTTATTGTAAAAAAGAAAAAAAAAAAAAAAATGATTCTTTTTCAAACCTATGCCAGTTTCAGCTTCCAATCAAAAGGAAGAAATTTCTCTATCATAATTCTTTCATATAAACTAATGGCCGATTTTTCTTGGTCTTTCACATGCTCGACCCTCTTCTCTCCGACGTTTTTTTTTCTTCTTTCTTTCATAAGTTAATATTCAAGTTCTCTAAATGAAAAAAAAAATCTTTTTACATATACACAAAAAAAATGAAAAAGTAAAATGGTTATGATTAGATTTAAATGAGTTAGGTAAAAAAACCTTTTCAATTAAAAAATTTTATGAAATTTATCTAAAACGTTTATAAAGTTATTAAAAAAAAAAAAAAAAAAAAAAAAAAAAAAAAAAGATTTTCCAGCGAATCAGACTTTAGTTTAGTTTGACTATTGATTGCCAAATTAAATTACCGAATTTATAACTTAAAAGAAAATCACTACTGAAAGAAATAAAGAAAGTCAGTGGTTTTATTCTAAAAAAAAAAAAAAAACGTCTAAAAAACCCAGTCATTAAGAAAAAATAAATAAAAATGTCATGTTTAATTTATTCGTTTTTTTTGGGGGGTCTGGCTTTAAAAATTTTAGTTTGGCTTTTTCCGCTTTTTATACCGTATATATACGCTATTATACGTATTTAGCTTTTTAGATAAAAAAAATTTTAATCTGGCAACCATGGTGGGAAGCCTACGGGTAGATTCCAAATCCAAACAAAGAAATATTGTCTTGGCCACTAAAATTAATTTCAGGTTAATGTGCTTGTGCTGGGTGGTAAATACCAAACAATTGTTTGTATTTTTATTTAAAGATTTCAAAGTAAAAAAAAAATAAAATAAAATAAACAGCTTGACTGCCATTTTTCAGACACGCGGTCCTGGATGTAGACAACTCGAGTGAATTGAAAATCAATGAAATAAGCGAAGCCTAATTGACTAGAAAAAATAGTGATGCAATCTCGTCAAAATATTTTAACCAGTACACCTCAAGCTTCATTGAACAATCGTAAGACTAAGACTACTTTTTAGCAACAAAAATTTTCATTATGCCAAATAAATTGCTTGATAAAAGAGGAAGGCGGGTCTAGCACAATAGGTGAGGTTATTTAAACTTTTAAAACTAAAAGTATTATTATAATAGTTGTTATTAGGGTTTTGTTTTTTTAATTCATTTTTCGCCACCGTAGTACTTTAAAGACTTTAACATCAATTCATTTATTTAGTCAACGGTTTTTTTTTGGGGGGGGGGTTACTTTCTTTTTTATTCAAGTCGTGACAGTGTGTCCGGTAAAATGGTAATCAGGCCAAGAAAAACTTGTTCCATAGAAGAAAAATAAGAAATGAAGAATGAAATTAATTATAACAACAGCATGTTTGCCAAGAAGAAACAAAGTCTCCAATAACGTTGTGTGGAATAAACTACAAACAGTTCGAGTAAAATATGAACTGTTGAGCAGAAGTTAAAGCAAGCTTTTGAGTTTTGTTGAGTATGACTACCGGCAAACGAAATGCCGGTGCTACTGGCAATGAGAATGAAAGAAAGAAGCAGATACAGGAGGAGGTTAATAAAAGGAACCTCCCAAAAACGTAGTTACTACTTTCATGAAGGAAGAAGAACCTGAAGAAAAGTGAAAAGCAATTATTTTTTTTATTTCCTTATAGTTTCTACTTGTTTTTATTTGTTAATTCACTAAGCTTTCTTTTTCTTTTTGTTTAGTGTTTACAGCCTATGCATTGATCGAAGCATTTTATTTTTATTTTTCCCTTTCTTCCTCTACAACAACGATAAAGAAAAAAGTGAAAAAAAAGGAATAAAAAAAAAAAATAAAGACGATTTTTTTTTTCTCCCTATTTCCACGTTTTTAATTTTTATCCGTATGGTGAGAAAAAAAAAAAAAAAAAAGAAGATATATCTACAGAATTGTTTTTAGTTCAATAGTATGATGATAGGGGCCTTGTCTTTTTTTTTTTTTTTTAACAAAACACACACACGCAAACACACACCCAGATTCTACCTCCAAAAATCTATCGTTTTTAGTGGCTCACTAACTCGCTTCTTCTACATTACAGTCATCAGACATTATTAATAAGTAAAAACCGGTGAGTGATTGATGGAGAAAGATCGCTTCAGGTTGGCAGAGGAACACAATCAATCGACTGCAAAACTAAAGCAGTGGAAATGGTAACAAAAAGAAAAAGTAATAGTAGTTAAATGTGTAAAAAGGGATAATTCTTATTTTTACGTCATTCATTCCAAAAAAAAAAAAAAAAAAAAAACTTACTCGTACTACTAACCTTCTCCCTTTTCACTACGAAGCAATCAATGCTACTACCACCATCCCCAACAACATCCATTCATTTCGTACAGTTTACCCCCCCCCTCACCCCCTCTTTCTCACACACAATTGTTCACCTATGACTATATTTATTGTATATAAATACAATTATGGCACAAGGCCGAAAATGGAGGATGACTCTCTACTCACGGAATTACATCCATTCTTCAGGAAACTTAATGGTAACAACCGGTGTGCGCGTGTATACACATAATGTATGTGGGGAGTAAACGTGTGCGCTTAAGTGTGTGTGTGTTAGTGTTACAATATATCAGAGAGAGAGAGAGAGAGAGAGAATTTCTTCAGAGGTACACTATAATCATGACAGAGATTTTTTTTCTAGGAGAATGAAACGGAGAGAGAAATAGGGAAATATTTCAGAGAAGGAAAATAATAATAACTAATGAGAAAGAAAGACAGTGTTGGAATAGAGAGAGGAGGATAAACCAATACTACTTTAAACTTTAGTTACCTATAAAAGATAGATGTACCTATACACTTTTTTTGTTAATACTGAAAAATAAACTTACAAGTGTAAAAAAGATAATGGACAGAAAGAAGGTGCGATATATGTGTAAAAAAAATGTATGAGAGATAAATATTCCAAGTAGCAGATAATTATTGCACATCCACTTTTGAGATACAGGAAAACTAAAACATATCACTATCACAGTCATACGGTGTGTAAGAGCGATGTTTTCCTTTTTCACGTTGTGTTTATATACACACACGGATAGATTACCTTGTTGAGTTGTGGAGCAATGGTTAACGAGCTAGTCTCAGACCGTTACCACTGTGTGTAGTTAGTTAGATAGGTATTTGAGAACTCAACAATTCTGACCTTGTGTCAAAAACTAAGTTGACTTTAATAAGTCAAACACATAGAAAAAATAAAGGGTTTATTTTACTTTTTAATTTATTATGAAATGAGATTGTAGAGAGGCAAAGACAGCAAGAAAGAGGCCACAGAGGTGCAAGTGGCCTCACGAAGTGACGGAGAGAAGAAAGATTTGTAGAAGAAAAAACTACATCATAGGATGACAGAAACAAAATATGAATTATCAAAGTTTAAGAGAAGAGTTTTTTTTTTAACTGATGAAGTATTTGGCAGGAGGAGCATAATTCATCATTACCAAACTGAAAAGAAAGTCTTTCAGGTTAATTAAAACTAGCTCCTCGTGATATAAGACTTGCATACATCCACATTGAGTTATATTCTTATGATCATCTTATTCTTAATTACTTGAAATAAAAAAAATAAAACTTTCTGGGACTTCATTACATGTGTGCGAAGTTTCATTCCTTCAATCAAATATTTGTCGCATTTTTTTTTTTTAGATACTTGACGCCAGAAATATAATGCTGAGTTTGGTATGTCAATTTTTTTTAGCAAGTATTTCAAAACTGAGTTGTATAAATTTAAAATAACTATTCAGGAATATAATGCTGAGTTGGGTATGTCAATTTATGATTTCAGGACAGAGTTATAATTTTAAAATAACAACAAAAAAGGCGTTTGAATACCAGAGGTCAAGAAAGGGAAGGTATTGCATTTTTCAGTATATTCTGAATTAGGTCAAAAAGTATACATTGAAACAAGGTAGCAGCTAAATTTAACCTGCATAAGAATCAATTTATACATGACTAAGTACATTTTGGGAGCTGACCCTTTAAAATACAATAAAACCTTCTGAGACAGACTACAGTACACTACACACAGCCTGAAGATGATACAAACCTTAAACCAGTAAAATCCCTTGAGATGTGATAACATTAGTCATAGGAATCAAATGTTTCACTAAATTTGCATTTGTAGGTTTAAACTGGAAAAGAGATATCAAGCCAAAAGCCATTTATGAAATTTCTACAAATCTACTTTTTTAGCTGAGAAGGCTCAACTTTCGTTACACTAAAACCTAAGATCAAAAAGTCGTACTGTAAAAAATATAAATAAAAATAAAATAGAAGTATAAAAAGTTGAGGTGTCTTCTTTTTCTGATAGTGGAGGTACTCTTGCAACTATGGTCTAAATGTGTGTTTGTGTAAATAGTAATAGCAGTACTTGTAGCAGTAGCAACAACAATGAAAAATGGTTACATGTATTATGTGAGCATATACAACTATAATGTTCACATGATTGAGTCGGTTTCTCATAAAACTCAATGGTTGAGCTCTCCCCTCTCCTCCTCCTCATCAGCACTGTTCCATGACTCCTTTTAGGCATATGGAATTGAAAGGAAGCAAAATAGTGCTGAGTGATAAAGAGAAACAAAATAACAGAAATAAAGACAAACACTAAAGGAAAAAAAAGAAAAAAAAAAAAAGAAAGAGTGAAACAGACAGACAGTGGTTAAAACAGAAAGAGACAAAGTTGAATCAAAAGAGAGGGAGAGACGCAGCCATAAGAAAAAAGTGACAAACGCTGAGAATATGAAAAAGAAAAAGGCAAATCATTTTTTAAGAGACAAAGCCAGAAACTAGAAATTATGAAAATAGTCTTGGAAAAAAAAAAAAAAAAAAAAAAAAAAAACCATATGTTTAAACTGAATCATAGAATGTGAAGATAAAAAGGTTGTAGCCAAATCTTTAAATTAGATTTTTAACAGAAAAAGAGAAACAATAATGACTAAAGAAAGATTAAAGAAAGATATTTAATTTAGTAGAGAATTCCTTCCTTCCTTTTTTTTTTTTATTATTCCAATCATTATTTAATATGATAATGATATTTATTTATATGATAATAATCAGAAGACTAATAATAAAATGTAATAAGTTTAATAAAATAGACCCTATTGAATGGAAGAGTAAAAATGAGATTTATTGCCTTTCATTTTGATTTCTAAAGTGTTTCTGGTATGCATGGAATGTACGGAGTGAGTGCATGTGCGTTTGAAAAAGGAAGAGAAGAAGGTATAATATGCAAAGAAGAGAAAATGAATAAGTCAAATGGTGGATGAGCAAAGGAAAGAAAACCCAAAAGAAAAAAGCTGTTTCTGATTAGATAATAGTAAGTAGTTGCAGGTATAATTATGTATATATATATATATATATATATATATATATATATATATATACTACATACATGTTCATACATACATGCATAATCTTTAATTAAATAGAAAAAGAGATGTATAGATTGGCAAAGAAAAAGACAGGCTGAGGTATATCAGAATTGGGCAATTTTACGGAGAAATCCTACAAGAGGCTGGAGATACATACACACTACACAGGTTGAATGATGGGGGATGGTGGTCCAAGACACTTGACTCTGCCACAGACAGACACCATGTGCTGCTATGACTGGCCATGAAGTGGTTGTGGGGGTGATGGTGCTGCAGTCAAAGAGGTAGAAAGCAAATGGACACTGGATAGTCAACCCCAGTATCTTACACAGCAGCTAGACTTGAGAAAAACCACTCCTCAGCATGCAATATAGCAGAACATATATTCCATTGCATGTGCACCTTTATACAAATATACGGGTTCTTTCAAATACATTTTTTTGAGAAAGTGAAAATAGGTTACCAGAATCAATCACCTTTTCTACACAAACCAACAAAAATTGGTTAAAAAAAATCTCTCCACTTCAGCACTATATATATGAGATAAGAAGAGAGATGGAGATAAAATAAAAAATATTGAATAAAATTATTCTTAATTATAAATAAAAACTAACAGTAATAAAGGACTATAGTCTTTTAATAGACCAACAATGAAAATACATTCAATTTCAATCTTACGAACACACAAACATGCACGATATGTGTGGTGCATGTATGTATGCGCACTTGAACACATGCATTAAAGTTAAAAATCATTGAACTAATAATAATAATAATTGTAAATTGTGAGTCACACGAAACATAATGCCTTGCTTTTTAAAGGCCTTTAAATGGTAGGAATGATCATAGCATGCATAGCAGTGAATTGTGAAACTGAATTTAAAATAAAAATAAAATAAAAAAAACTACCCTATCTTTTTATCAGGGAATCATAGTCAGGTAAAACAAAAAAACACTTTAGAGGTATTTGGTGATTGCGGGAAGAAGGCAAAGGTGGCAGATTTTTAGTCAACCCCTAAGGCCTGCTGAGTAAGAAAAAAAAACTAACTGCTTCAGATGAACATGAAAGCTAATTCAAGGAATAACTAAAATATGTACCATATGAAAATAACACGAGATATGTAGTTATACACATGGGTGAAATATGTGATGATAATAATAATAAAAGAGTTCATTAATTTTCAGTTTCTTATTTGTAATAATTCTCTTCCTTCTACCCTCTTTCCTTTCCTTTTTTTATTCATTCATTCATTCATTTTTAGTCATTCATTCATTCTTTCTGAGAAAAGAACGAAATAAAAAAAATGATTAAATAGGAAATAATCTAAATAAATGAAGATAATTAAATTTTAATAGCTAGAAAACAGAAGATAAGTCTTGGTTTTTCACAAAAATGAAGTTTTCATCTATACATTTAGAAAACAGCGCAAAGATAGCAACAACAGCATCAGCAGCAAGGTAGTCTGACAGAACCAACATACATAAAAATATGGTAGGAGCAGTGGCTGACACAGGAGTTGGCAATGAAAGATAGAGAAAAATTTGAGATGGACAAACACTGACAAAATAGACAATACATGTGGAATCTTAAACAAAAGCTGCACCAACCGGTCAGGGTAGAATGTAAACTAACTCACCCGAATTCCCTAGAAAAAGGAAATCTCTCAGTACATTCATCACCATGTTAGGACGAAGTCAGAATTTAATTGTGAGCCAACATCAGATACATTACACAGACACACATACACACAGACACACACACACACAACACGAGGCAAGCATGCACTAATATACACATTTCACACACAAAGTTGTTAAGCATTAGAATAAAAAAAAAATAAAATAAAATGTATTTAGTTACAGTGAAACAGTTGTAAATTAAGAGTTAAACCAATAGAGAGAGGCTCTTAGTTTTAGGTGGGCTTTCCCAAGTCTTAAGGTAGAGAAAGCTGGTGACCATGGTCACCTGGGGGTAAGGGTTGGGGGCTTTAAAAAAGGGAGGGGGGAGAAAAACAAACCAAACCTTTGGCTTTTTAACTGAATTAAAGAAAAATATCTTAAACATGGTCACATACCTACCAGGTTCATATTGGAACAACTCGCAGTGTGGGGGTGGGGAAAGGCACAATTAACTAATGCCTTTATCCCAAATCACATGAGGAGGAGGAAGGAAAAAAAACAACAATATTGGGATCCATGTTTCCGTCCCTCTGGCCACACCTTAGAAATTGACAACGATGTTCTTCCAGGTCTTTCAAATGGCTAATTATATTTTTACTAACTTTCACTACTGCCACTTCCCTTAGTAACAGCGGTTGCTTCGATAGTAATATTAGCAGTAGTAATACAAAATGAAGGTGATGTTGAGGGCAGAGATGACGATGGTGATGAAGATACGGTAGTGTCACATGCTGCACATGATTAGTGGAGGGCATACCAGTACTGGTGACATCAATGTTGAAACTTCCCTCTGGGATACTCCAGGGTTGTTGGTTTAGTGGCGAGGGAGGGAACTTGGGGTGGAGGAGATTATTATTATTATTTTTTTTTTTTTTTTTTTTTAGTACCGGTTATTAACCTTTTTCTTTTTTTTTTTTTTTTAAAAAAAAATGTTTTGAAAATAATCCAAAAGAAAACAAAAGACCTATTTATAGCAAAGTATCTGGAGAGAGAGGTTGATGTTGTTGACTAAAAGCTCTGTGAATGTTGTTGGAGATACAGAAAATGCAGGAAAGAGAAAGAAAAGAAGAGAGAGAAGTAGGAGATAAAGGGGACTGACAAAAAGGAGGAGGAGGAGGAGGAGGACTCAAAAGAATGTACACTTTAGTTAAGCCCTTTCCCCGGCAAGTCAATTTCAAACTCATGCCTTTAAAAGGGACATTTCCACAAACTGTATCATTTTTATCTGTCTTTTTTTCTTTTTACCCCTGCCCAACTTGGAAGAATTAATATTCATTTGTTTTGTTCAGTGTTTTTAATTTCATAATCAATGTTATTTCATTTTGTGTTCTTTCCTTCATTTTCCTATCATTTTATTATTATATCTATCAATCATTAGTAGTAGTAGTAGTAGTAGTTGTAGTAACAGTAGCAATCATCTGATGGTGATGAAGATGGTAGTGGTTGTGGTGATGGAAGTATTTTGGTCCAAGGCACCAATCAGAAATAACTGAGTGTGAGGGGAGAAGGTGGGTGCGTTCAGAGTGAGTGAGTGAACCATGTATGCATTACGTAGAGGGTGAGTCATCCTTGCACAAACCATTCACAGGGATACGACATGCTCTCCATCTGATACTGCCACTGCCACTAGATTCCATCTGAAAAACCACTGTTAGACCCTGTTCTGCCCTTCCCTTTTATACAGAAGGGAAATACACACACACAATCTACCACACTCATCCCACCCTCCAGGCTGCTTGATAAATTAGATGTTGATGTTGATGATGATGGAATCAGAATTAGGAAACCTGCTTTACTATGTGCAACTTTACCCTGCCACACACCACAGCAGCAGAAGAGTTGCCGGTAGAATGGCTGGAGCCAGAAGATATCCAGTGACAAAGAATAACTGTCTCTCTCATTCACCCTCAAATTTGTACCCCCAAGATAATACTGAGGAAATATCACACAAGTGCATCAAATGAAAAGAAAAGATAAGGGAGGGAAGGAAAGACAAAAGAAAAGAAAAAGAATGAAATATTGGAGACAGAGTTCAGACTAAAAAAGTTCCATATCAACAAGGGAGAGAGAGAATTAGGAATGTGACATTCTTGGCAGAGTGATAAATAGAGAAAGGATTTGGTCATTGCACCTACAGAAATAATAATAATAATAATAAGTTTTACTTCAAAATAGACACTGGTGAACAAGTATAACATTCATAAGAAAGTTAAAAAAAAAAAAAAAAACCAATGCGGGACAACCATGAAAGCTGGGGAAGCGGCCAAGACAAGACATTCACGAGATGCAAAAGGGGTGAAGTAGCCAAGACGAGAAGGGGGTGAAGCAGCTAATACGAGACAACTGTGAGACAAGAAAGCAGCCAAGGCTAGACAACCGTGAGACAAAAGAGTCCATGAAGGGTTCAAGACAATCAGGATATGCGGGGGGGTGGGGGGATTTGAAGCAGACAAGACAACCATGAGACAAACAAGGTAACCCTTGAGACAAGGAGGAGGGAAGCAAAGTGCCCAAGACAACTTTGTCAGTTGAGAAAGGAGCCAAAACAAGGTAACCATGAGATGAGAAAGAGTGGGGAGCAAAGTGCCCAAGATGAGAAAAGTGAAGGAGTAGCCAAGAAAAGACAAATGAGACAAACGTGGTAAGAAACAAGACAAGAGACAACTGAAATTGGCAGGGTGAGGGATAGAGACTTAACCCTATTTCTGGTATGGATTAAAAATGAAAACTTTGTTTATTTTGAAACTCCCTCACACCTTCCACCCCATTTGGACAACAAGCTAGTGAAACCTTGGACAATGGGATTAATTTTTTTCAGAGGTAGAATGTGATCTCTGTATTCCTTCTAAGTTTCTGAGTGATTCTTTCAGACTGCTGTCCCTTAAAAATAAATATACCAAAAGTCAGAATCAAAAGTGAGGTCCAAATAATTTATAGATTAATAATAATAAAACTACCTCAGGCCTTAGAGGGTACTTTTTCTTTTTTAACTTTGTAAAATTGGTTAATTTAGGACATGGAATATCACTTTATAACTATCAGTTTTGCAGGGCAGGATGTGACAACCTTATTTATATTTTAAACACAAGTTAAATGAATGTATTTAACTGTGTGAATGTTTTGATGTTCCTTCAGGAAAAGGTCAGAATAAATATTTTTAAGACACATACATACAGACAATATGTCTTGAGACAATCTTTTCAAAAAAAAAATCAAAAAATTTTTTGTTTTATTTTTCTGATAAACTTATGAAATATATCTATATAGTTAGGAAAACTTTTTGTTCAAGAAGTCCATAAAAAAAAAAAAAAAAAAAAAAATGATGTTTGGTCAGATATTGGGAAGTAGGTCAGACCATAGATTTTTTCACCCCCCCCCCACTCTGCATCAAAAAATGATAAGCATTACCTTTACTTTTATAAAGTGCTTTTGTCAGCATTACAACTCCTGCAGAGTAAATGTTAGTAACATGAAACATACACTAAATTGATAATATATAATTTATATCTGTCGGTTTTAAAATATCTGAAACATTTTTTTATTGAACTTACAAAGAAAAGCTCAACGATACTTGAATCTCAAAGAAAATTCATGAAAGGCTTTTGCACTGAAGTGGCCTCTCTATCTTTTATATTTTACAGAGAGTGAAAGTGAGAGAAAAGACTGGGTATAGAGGGATTGAGGAAAGGATAAAAGTTGAACAAGGATTCAAGAAGATAGATGGTGATTGATATTGCATTTAAATTTTTGAAGATTGCAATTATCAGGGAAGCAAGTAAATGGAGTTCCACGGGGGGGGGGGTGAGAAAAGAAACTATTGGAGTAGAGGTGGCGGTTACAATTAACTAATTCAACAGTAAAAGGGTGGGACCTAGATGCCAATCTAGTAGCATGCTTAAATTCACGTAATTGGGGTACCACGGATAAAAAGCTCATCAGAGCAGTTGCTATGAAAATATTTGTAGAAAAGACAGAGGAATCTAATTGATTTTTTAATCTATTCCATTTGCTATTCTGTTACCATTGGCAAGTTGAACAAAATTACTAAACTAAATGGCAGCTAATTCTGCTACAATGTTTACATGTACTTCAGTTGAATGCACAAACCTAAAATCTCATTAACAACCTGGTTACTTTTCAAAAAAAACCTCTTACCTGTACACATTATTAGATTATGATTAGAGGAAAAAGGAATGCATGTGCAAAGTAGAAATTATAACTATTTTTAATTAAAAAAAAAATAAATAAATAAATAATTGGGGTTGTCTTTCTGGAAATGTCAATTCCTACAATAAAAGTTAATGTAAAGAAAGTGTGTATAGAGAAAAAGAACAATAAAAACTTTAAAATGGTCACAAATGATTGAAGCATGTCCAATCACAGTAGACAAGGACACAAAGTAGTATTACTAGTCCTAAAACAGAGCAGCAGTTTTATACACACAAAAAAAAAAATTATTATTATAATTATATTAAATTCATATTAATTATATTAAATTGTATATTAAAATACAATTATTTTCCATTATATTAAATGTTATCATTATATTATTATAGATCATGTGTGTGTACACACAAAAAAAATATATTTCTATACATTTAAATAAATGATTTCAACTATAAAAAGTGCACTAATAAATGCAGTATGACTTGTCCTAAAACAAGCAGGCATATATATATATATATATATATATATATATATATATATATATATATATATATATTTATTTCTTGTTTAACATATTTTAGTAGAAGTAAAAACAAATAGTGTCAGATTAAAATAAAAATCCATTAATTCCTATATATATATATATATATATAAGGCTCTCTCATAATTTTTTTCGACATGAGGGTCAAGCAGCTCAGTCTTAGAACCAACAGCCAGACTACCCACACATATCATTTGATTATAGTGATGAAGGCTTGTCCAGAACCAACCACTTTTTAGAAGAATGTAATAAGAGAACTGGTGCGCAGTATGCCACAAGGTCCCCCAAATGGCCCTCCTCAGGTTTTGAATTCAGAGTTGTCCTTCTCCTAGACTGTTTGCCACCCAAGGCTATAAGATCCAGTCTGTCCTGCTATTTACCCATAGCTGAGATGAGAAGAGATGAATTCATACCTTTCCCAAGGGTATTAGCACAAGTGAATGTAATGAACTCAACCGGAATTTGAACTTGACTAATTCGTCAATAGAAGCTGCTATCTATTACTCCATATTTCTATATTTCTATCTCTATTATTTATATATATATATATATATATATATATATATATATATATATGTGTGTGTGTGTGTGTGTGTGTCTTTATAGGTTATGATTTATTTATTTATAGGAGAAAAGTGCTCAATATCGGGGAGAAAACATAAGTATTATATATATATATATATTTTATATTTATATATTTACCCACACACATGCTACTGTTACAAATCTTCTAACAATGTAATCCTCATTTGAAATATGTAAAAGATTGATTGTTTTTTTATTTTAATAATTAAAAGGGTCACATGAACCACAGTATGGTTTTAAACTGGCGCCAATTATGCTTGTAACACAGCTGGTGATGGTGCCAGCACACTTCCTGGAAGTGAGACACTGCTGTTTTGTAGTAGCATCAGCAAATTGAAGGAAGCAGTAAGTATACTAACAATATTGGCAGTAGTAGTCAAGGAGGTAGTGTAGTAGGAGTAGTAGTAGTTTGAAACAAATTCATCACAAAGACATTTAATTATATACAAAAAAATATAAATTAGTTGTTAAAGTAACAAAAAAAAATTTTACTTATTTTTCTTATTAAAAATATTTGTATATGGATCAATGAAAAATTGGATTAATTACTTTTCATATAAGTCGGTGAGCAGTTTTGCTTTTATTTAAATTGATTTAACATTAAATTGATCTTGTATGACAAATAAAAACATGTGTATCTTCATTTAGAAATCACTTTATACAGGCATCAAAAACACAATGGCAAAGAGCCTGAATTCAAAATCGTCTGTGAAACTGAAGAGAGACAATCATGGCTGAGAACTGAAAGGGGGGGTAATAACAGAGAACAATTTATTCAACTTTGGATAGTAATTGTGGCTAATTTTATTTTCTTCCTTTTCCCAACAAGATAAATGAAAATCTGATTCTTACAAAATAAGTAAATAATTATAAAGACACTGATTATAACTGAAATAAATGAAAGAAAAATATTTAAAAGTTTTAATATTTGGAAGATGAGGCAATCCTTCCGAGTCACACATGTGACTAGTTGGGCAAAAATCACCCACACTGTGTCACCTGACAAGAATCAAAGGAAACTGAAATAAAAACAACTTAGCTCAGAATTAGAACGGAAAACACAAAAGATAAAAAAATTTTCTTTAAAAATCAGATTTTGAAAAAAAAATAATCTCTCAAACTTTATAAAAAATACCATTAGTAAGATTAGCCAATACTTTTCAGTTTAAAATAGCTTTTTAAATGACTTAACCACAGAGATAAATGTTGCTTTTTTCACATCTATTTTTTTTTTTTTTTAAAGATTATTAATGAAAATGTAATAGAAGCGACACAGCTCAAAAAAACATTATTTATTAGCATTTTTCTGTGTTATACTTATTTCAATCAATTGATAATTACTAACAATACAATTTTTAAATCCTAAAACTTTAAATAAATGAAGGTGGTAAAAAAAAAAAAAAAAAAAAAAAAAGAAATTGCATGGGAATTTAAGTTTACATCACAGAAGAGAACTTTTGTTCAGAAATAATGAAGTGTTGATTTTGAAGAGAAAAAGTGGTATTTTGCTTATTAATTTTGAAGAGAAAAAGTGGTATTTTGCTTATTAATTTTGAAGAGAAAAAGTGGTATTTTGCTTATTAATTTTGAAGAGAAAAAGTGGTATTTTGCTTATTAATTTTGAAGAGAAAAATAAAGAAAATTTTGTATTTTTATTAATTTTGAAGAGAAAAAGTGGTATTTTGCTTATTAATTTTGAAGAGAAAAAGTGGTATTTTGCTTATTAATTTTGAAGAGAAAAAGTGGTATTTTGCTTATTAAAATGCAACAGAAAATGCTTGACAAGCTTTGTACCAAAAATGATAAAATTCATTTTCCCCCTTTTTTGGTGAATATTATTTGTTTTAATAAGACAACAAATATTAAAAATTATAAATCTATATTTTCTGTAATTTCATGTAAATAATTATGCTAACACTAATCAGAGTAAAATAAATTACTGTCAGAGAAAGGGTGTCAAAAATTTGGCACACACTTAAAATGAAGATCATTTAAGGAAATTACATTGTATAATTTGGATTAATATCCTGCTTTTATTTGTTCTTCTAATTGGTATAAGATTCTGAGCAAAAGGTAATCACATCTCTTGAGATGTGAAGATGGATACAAAGAAAATGTTGAGGAGCAGTTTTATTATTTTTATTTTTTCCAGGGATTGAGCAAAATTTCTACTGAAGCTATTCTCGGAGGTATTTTGGAATATATCTTTGTTAATAATGCTGATTTTATTTTAAAGATAAGCCCGAATTTAAATATAATCATTTT